CAAGGGCATGAATACCAGGAGGTGGGGACCATTGAGACCCATTTTGGAGATTGCCTACCCAGACAGAAGATAAAGGCAGCTGCATGAGCTGCTCTTCTGATCCAGTGATGCAGCATCAACATGCTTTGAAACGGCACTTTTTAAGGGACTTTTTTGTCCCAGACGCGAGTAGGTACTTTCAGACTGTGCAGGACATGCGTCCATGGCAACTTTCGAGCAGGGAGGGAGGCTTTTCTCCCACCCAGCTGCTGCTTTCCCCACTGGCCCACACCTGGCCTGACCCCTGGCTCGTAAGCCACATCTTGAGTACGCATCTGATATCAAGAACATCGTGGCTGGAAGCAACAGCATAAATCCTTGGGGGTGGGGGTGGGTTGTTTCCTGGGGCATTAGAATCATTATCTCCTATGGAATTACTTTAGTTTTGTTCCAGCCTTTATTTTCTCAAGTTCTGGGGCTGTGGGCTGTGCTGAGGTCATTTGAGTGTTGAATCATCGTTGAATAGTCCCCAAGAGCAGCCATGCTAGAGCAAGTGAGCGGTATACACCACCCTTTGTTTAGTTGTAAGCGACTCTCATCCCCAGGGACGTGTCATGTTTTATGAGCTGTGACCCCTGTGTCTTCCCATGGCAAGACAGGGACTCTATGCCTGGATGTATGGAGATACTGTTGGGTGGGCATAGTGTGCCCCTCCTTCCCAGGTTTAAAAAAAAAAAAATCAACATTTACAGTTAAGGCATTTAGAACAACTGAGTATGTAAACAAGTGGGGATCAAAGCTATTCATCTCCTTTTTCACCACCCAAGATAACCAATTATCTTTTCAGGAGATTTTCCTTTGAGTCTTTTTCAAAGCATGTACAAGTGTAAATATCCATACACATTTTTATAAAATTGGCATCAAACTTCATATAAAGCTTTCTGAGCTGCCCCCCACCCACTAAACTATATGTATATGATGAAAATGTTCTCATATCAGTAGAATATGATTTTTAAAGTATGCCTGGTGTTTTCATGAAAGAATGTACTGCTATTTCATGAACTTTTCTTATTTTGGATGCTTAAGCTGTTTCTCATTTTTGACTGCTAAAAATAACGCTGTGAGCATCCATCTTTGCAAAGCTGTCTTTAGTGAAATACATATTATCTTGCTAAGTTTTCTTATTTCCTGACCTGTTTCTTTGATTTGGGCGAGTGGAAAGAAATCTGCGTCCAGGGTTTTGAACTAGTTTTCTACTTTGCACAAATATCACTATACTCCTCTAATGCAACAATTCTCCTCCGGGGGGGCATTTGAAAATGTCTGGAAACATTTGTGATTGTCACAACCCCGAGTAGGTGGTCCTACTGGCATCTAGTGGGTGGAGACCAGGGATGCTGCTTAGCATGGATAGTTCCTATGACAAAGAATGATCTGGTCTCATGAGTTAATTGTGCTGAGGCTGCAACAATTCTCCTCCGCGTGTTCATATAACCAGACGTGTTCATATAACCAACCTGTTATATGCAAATGACTGTTCAATTACCTGTTATATGCAAATGACTGTTCAATTACCTGATGGGGAAGTTTTAGCTTAGTTACAACACTTCTCTCAGCTTGGTTTACCATCTGTTGACAATTACAGTTTTGCTTTCCCATGTCTGTTTCATCAAGCTTTTTGAACATGTGTGATGTCATGCATGATACTTGGCAGCATCTTTTTGCACCCACAAAGTAAGATATTTTCTTCGCATGGATCTCTGTCTCCTAAGCAGTCAGGTAAGCTTAGAGAAGCCAGTTGCTCTGAGACTCTTGTGTCTGTCTTTCTGAAGGAAGGTTGTGTCGCCTGTTTTTGTTTTGTACAGGATGCCTCAATGCCATCCCCCACTTCCCATGTGGAATGGTGAAGTTGGGTCATTGGTGTAGATCACACCGTTGTCATTGTTTGAATAAAGGAGGCCTTTGAACGGGTGCCAGCCACAGACCAGTGGGAAAACATGAGGCTTGAAAACAATACAGCACAACCAGCCCATCTCTGTAGATTTATAGTGTAATCTTGCCATAATATGGGAACAAAGTAAACTTGTGATGAACTTGGTAGGAGGAAATGACTCATGGGAGGAGATAGTTGATACAGTATTTATATTGGACAAAACTCTGAACTTGCTTGAGCCCCATCTATAATAAAGGAAGCTGGGCGGGGGGTGTGTGTTATTTCCTACAGCCACGTTGTTAAGCATCATTTGGGTGAAGGGGGAAAGGAAGAGAAACCTCTGATGCTTTCATGTTCAGAACCCACAGCTTTCTTTGGCCTGAGTCACACGCAGGCTACAGCAGCAATTCATCAAAGATAACACATGGCATTGAATGTGTTTAAAACACGGGTGCCTCTTCTTGCCCGGGGGTGCTTTTAATGAGTCAGCGAGTGGTTCTAAAAGATTGTCAGTGATTAGAGGGCATTCAAAAGTTGTTTTAAATGCAGAAACTGTAGTACTAACCTGGCTTTATTTCATATTGAATGAAGACTTTGTAGACATTCATTCTGGGCTTCCTGGGGTAGCAGAATTTAGGCACAAGATGTTGATGGCCATGCTCGGTTTCCTTGCCCGTCTCTACTCTCTCCTTCTTAGTTGTGGAGCTGTCCTGCACGTTGTAGGATGTGTGGCAGCTTCTCTGGCCTCCGCCTACTAGATGCCAGTAGCTCGCCCCCCGAGTTGTGACATTCAGAAGCATCTCCAGGCATTGACTGCCAGGTGTCCCTGGGGACAAGATCATTCCTGTTGAGAGTCACTGGGCTAAGCCTTGTCTTCCACATGCAGTAGACCCAAGAAATTATGATCATCCCACCAGAAATAATATCATTGAGGGACACTTTGTGTGCATCTGCCCTGCGCCAACTGCTTTGTGTGGATTATCTAGTTTCAGCCACCACAGTTTAGGTAGTAAGGATTGTTGGTATCCTGTTTCAGATGAGGAAACTGGGGTTTAGAGAAGAGAAGCAACTGTGCACGTGCACACAGCTGGAGCTGGTGCCAGGTCTGAGCATTTGGTGCCTGTGGAGGTGCCACCTACCACCCAGAAAGTCTGGTCAGGGTGAACTGAAACTCTGGGTGATTTGATATCTAGGTAAGTCCTCAGACAGACATAGAGGTCTGGAATTTTCTAGATTAGTGGTTCCCAGCTGAGACAGTTGCCCCCCCAGGAGACATTTTTGATTGTCACCAGTGGGGCTGCTGCTGGCATCTAGTGGGTAGAGGCCAGGGGTGCTGCTAAACGTCCTACAAGGCACCAGACAGTCCCTACAACAAAGATTGATCCAGCCCAAATGTCAATAGTACCGAGGATGAGAAACCCTGATCCAGATCGTTATCTTCCCTGCTCTTTTGGTGATACTGGCAGTCCTACATGTAAATTTAAAATTATCTTAGAGCATAGGAGGCCATTCCTGTTGGAATAGCAATAACTTTGAAAACAATACAAAGGTCTTAATCCTTTTGATCTTGCTCTCATCATTTAATAATTTCCCAAATAAATGCTTTGAGTTTTCTTCTGATTTCTGTGGCCTTTGCCTCAAAGTGAGGCCCTCTCTTGCTTTTTATCTCCGGCCAAGTGAAAGAACGCTGGCGTCTGTGACGTACACTCCGTACACGCTCCATCGTGGGAAGCGGGCGTCGGAGCAGAAAGCATGTTCCTTTTGGTTACTCATTGTTCCTGGCCTCCCTCTCTAGGATGAATCAACTGGAGAAATTACGTTTTACATGAAGGGAGCGGATGTTGTCATGGCTGGCATCGTGCAGTACAACGACTGGCTGGAGGAAGAGGTAAGCGAGACGTGGGCCATGAAAACTGGGCCTTGAAAGCAGTTCTGAAGCGGCATTGCCTTGCATGGGATAGTGAGGTGGGCCTCTGTATTTGTTATCTGTGGCGGTGGAACAGACCACCCTGCTACTTAGCTGCTTGAAACAATACACGTTGATTCCTCATGGTTTCTGTGGGTCAGAGAGCCAGGCATGGCCTAGCTGGGTCCTGTGCTTCAGGGCCCCCCAATGCTGCAGTCAAGGTGTCAGCTGGGGCTGTGGTCTCATTTCAAGGCTTGACTGGGGCAGGATCCACTCTGAGCTGTCAGTGGTTGTGGGCAGCCTTCAGCTCCTCCTGTTCCATGCCATGTGGTCCTTGCCAGAGGGCAGCTCACACCTGGCTGCTGGCTTCATCAAAGTGAGCAAGACAGGGAGCAGGAGAGGCTGCTAAACGAGACGGAAGTCACCGTCTTCGGTAACCTCATCTCAGAGGTGATGTCCCCTTACTCTTGCTGCTGTCTGTTTGTTAGGAGTAAGTCACAAGGTCCAGCTCACACTCAAGGGGATGTTGTCACTCAAGGGCATGAGTTCCAGGAGGCGGGGACCCTTGGGAGCCACATCAGAGGCTGCCTACCCCAGTTTGTGACATGTACAGTTGGCCGGCAGCCAGAGGGGAGGAGCTCTCAGGTTTATCAGGCTATTTTGTCTCCTTTCTCAGCTCCAGGTGGGGAATTCACATTTTACATTCAGTAACATGTTTTCAATTTGGGGGTTGCAAATCCATGTACCTACAGAGGCCAGGCAGGTAACGTAAATGGATGAAACAGGCCTGGGAGTATTTTCCTGGCACTTTGCGTGTTAAATGTATTGGAAGGTTCTTCACTTGACAACTGTGTTTTCTGGGAACACACAGGAGCAGCCTCTTCTTAGCCATCACTGACTGTGGTTATTTGGGAAAGTGCACCTGGTTTTGTCAGATTTCAGTGTTTCTACCGAACCCGTGATCTAGATTTGGGGCGAATTACAATGTTGACTTAAATTTCAAAACATATACTGTGCCAGTCAAAGAAAACCTACGTGTGGGTTGTACTGGGTCTATGGGCTGCCCCTCTGCGGACTTCCCTGTAGAAGGTTTGCTTCAGGGAAGATCATTTTAGGGGAAAGCAATTGTCTGATTTTCCATTTTCCCTGTCCCCTTGGAAGGGGCACATCCATGTCAGCATCCTCAGTGAGAGTCACAGCTCCCCACTGACCTGGGTCTGTTTTTCAGTGTGGCAACATGGCCCGAGAAGGGCTACGGGTGCTCGTGGTGGCGAAGAAGTCTCTAGCAGAGGAGCAGTATCAAGACTTTGAAGTAAGTCATCTTGTGACCTTTCCCATGTGTTTGCAGCCCTGCTCACCTTCCCGGTCACATCTCCTGCCAGCACCCCCTGGCTTATTCTCCTCAAGCCCTGCTGCCGTCATTTCTGAGCACACTAGGTTCACTGTTGTGTGGGGCCTTTGCACCTGCTCTTCTCTCTGCCTGGAACTCTCTTCCCTCACAGAGCTCCATGGCCCACTCCCTCACTTCCTTTGGGTCTTGGTTCAAATGCCGCCTCCTCCGAGAAGTCTTCCTGGACCACCTGTCTAAGGCATCCCCACCCTTTTGCTTTCCATCCTTCACCCCGTTTAACTTGCTGCATGACACTTAACACCATCTTTAATGACCTTGTTTGTATTTTTAACATTCATCTTACCCATATCCTCTCTGGAATGCAATCTTTTTAAGGGCAAGGGCTTCATCAGTCTGGTTTGCTCTTATATCCCCAATGCACATAGTATACCTTCTGGAAAATTTGTCATAAACCACCCTCTCGGAGCCCAAATTTCTTTAAGTATAAAAAATGTTGGGGCCGAGCCCGTGGCGCACTCGGGAGAGTGTGGTGTGGGAGTGCAGCGGTGCTCCCGCCGCGGGTTCAGATCCTATATAGGGATGACCGGTGCAGTCACAGCGCTCACTGGCTGAGCGCGGTGCGGCTGGTCTCAAAAAGGACAAAAAAAAAAAATGCTGGAGTTGAACTAGATTGTTGACTCATCTGTTGTCATCTTGTCCTATAGATTGTGCATTCCCTGAGGGAAGGGTCCTTGTCTTGTTCACTGCTGTGTGCCTGGCATGAAGCCAACGTGCATGATGCCATGCATGATGGGGCTGGGGGACAGGCTCTTGGGTCCTTGCCCAGCTCCTTGCCCAGCTCCTCCCGGAGAAATTATGTGTGGGTCTGTCTCGTCTGTGTGGTTGGGTTCCTGCTTTTTTTTTTTTTTAAATTAAGAGTTCTACCCCTGATAAATAACACCTGCCTTTCAATTTTTAAAAGTATTTGCTTTGAATGGGCCCATGAGGGGACTTTTGGTTTTCTTTCATGTTTTTGCTAACATGGTAAAGATGGAATACGCAGAATTGGGTTAGTGGTCTTCAGACATGGGACTTTAGAAAACCTGGCAGTCCAGAGTTTTGGTTATGCAGTGCGTGTTATGTGTGGCAGCACCTACTGTTTTTTGAGGTCTTGGGTTGTGCTAGTCCTCGAGACAGCCCAGTGTGATTGGTGCTGTTATTATTTCGTGGACGAAAGCAGGTGGGGCTGGGAGAAGTTAAGGGACCTGCTGGAAGTCTCACAGTGGGGGAGGGTAGAGCTGAGGGTGGGACTCAAGTCTGTCCAGCTCCAGCGTCTGTACTGGTGACTCAGGAGGAGGCCAAAAGCCTGTTTCCCCCAGCTAGGGTCCAGCCCACCTGTTGGAGTCCCCCCACCCTGTGTTCCACTGTCAGCAGGGGGTGGGCACCCCTGCCTCCCCCTTCCCTGCCCTCAGCGGTGACTGCATCTGCTGCTGTGTCCCAGGCCCGCTATGTCCAGGCCAAGCTGAGTGTGCACGACCGCTCCCTCAAAGTGGCCACTGTGATCGAGAGCCTGGAGATGGAGATGGAGCTGCTGTGCCTGACGGGCGTGGAGGACCAGCTGCAGGCTGACGTGCGGCCCACCCTGGAGACCCTGCGCAATGCTGGCATCAAGGTAGAGTGGGCCTGCCTGGGGCCTGCGGGAAGGAGCTCCCATGCCAAAGGGGCCATCATTTCCACCCTCACGCCCTGGTTTTGGGAGACGTCTTGTGTGGCATTTGCTTTTGCCGTCTGCCTCCCCTAAGCACCCTGGGCTCCCTAAAGGCGAGGACCATGTGTGTCTCCTGGTGGCTCAGGTCCAAGCACAGTGTCTAGTGCACCGCTGCTCATTATTTTCTAGTTGAGTGACTGGTCAGTCAGCCATCTGTCATCTGACTGACCACCCAACAGAGTGACCACCAGCACCAGCAAACTGCTACACAGTTGTGCCCCCCACCGTATCCATGGGCTCCACCAACCAATTGTGAACCAATTGTGGACTGAAAATATATTTTTGAAGTCAATAGGGAAAAAAACAAAACAGTATAACAGCTATTTATGTAGCACTTACATTGTATTAGGTATCATAAGTACTCTAGAGATGATTTAAAGTATACGGCAGGATGTGTATAGTTTGTGTGCAAATACTACACTATTTTATGTCAGGGACTCGAGCATCTGTGGATTTTGGTATCTGTGAGGGTCCTGGAACCAGTGTCCCACAGATACTGGGGGACAACTTCATGTACATTTTGTACTCTATTCTTTGGGGCCCCAAACCTCTATCTAGTAGTTTAGTGTAGAGAGGCCGGCAGAGGGCGTCTGAGGACCAGGCTCTGTCTCAGTGAGCCCAGGCAAAGTGTTAGCAGACTTACGGCCTGAAGCTCCTGAAAATGTGTGTGTTTGTCACCTGCCTCCACTCAAAGCAGCTCTCGCTGAGTCCTGGAGCCTGCATTTGGCAAAAGTGCCTGCCCTTTGACCAGGGCCACGTAGGAGCACAGAGCAGTCTCGGCACTCAGGCCCTGGGAGGTCACATGCATGGGTCATGTTTCCTACTCAACCATTCTGTCATGTACCTTTGGCTCAGAGGCCTGGTTCATCACAAGGAAATTGCCAGCAGGATCCCGTCTGTGGACATCTGGTGACAGCAGACCCATTTCTGCTGCATGCATCATAGTGTTTAAAATTAGGCACTGGCAATTTCTGAGATTTTCTCTTAGACTTTTGAAGATTCCACTTTCTGCTTCCAGCTTTGTCCTGGCATTTTTCTTCTTCTCAAAATTGTTCTATCCAAGGGCCGGCCCGGTGGCGCACTGCTACAGTGCGCCACTTGGGAAGCGCGGCGGCACTCCCGCCGAGGGTTCGGATCCCACATACAGACCGGCCGCTCACTGGCTGAGCGAGGTGTGGGAGCAACACCGAGGGTTGCGATCCCGTTGCCGGTCCCGGTCCGGTACGGGCGCGACACTGAGGGTTGCAATCCGTTGCCAGTCACGAAAAAAGACAAAAAAAGACAATCCGGTACGGGCGCGACACTGAGGGTTGCAATCCGTTGCCAGTCATGAAAAAAGACAAAAAAAGACAAAAAAAAAAATTGTTCTATCCAAGAACAGCTGTTTTATTCAAAGATGGCCACAACTTTTCTTTCTGGCTTCCCCTGTTGGACGTGAACTGGGGGAGAGCATGTGGGAGGGTGGCAGGCTAGTTTGTAATTAAGGTCTAAGGTACCATCTTTCACAGGAAAATCTCTACTTCAGCCCCTTTTACAAATGCAGAAACTGAGGCTGAGGGAGGCGGTCACACTCCCCAGGTTCTCACGCTGGGAGGTGGCAGAGCTGGGGCTGGAGTTTGGGTCCTGGCACTTCCTGCAGCGCCTTCCTCTTGTCCCAGCATGGGAGATGGCCACGTGAAGAACCTGATAATTCTTTTCATAGTTTTCTAGAACTTGAGCCTCCCAGCTCCTTTCCCAGCCCAGAGTTTGTTCTCTTACACTGAGCCCCGAGAGCTGGTACTAAACCAGGGTTACTTTAAAGAATACTGTTTTTAGGCCAGATGGGATATTGAAGGGAAACACTGACCCAAACTGAGGTCAAACCCAGAGGAGTGGGCCTGGGACACTCAGCCCCAGGGGTGCCTGGCACCTCCGTCTGCCTGTCTCCCCGCCCAACTCCTCATTCCTGCTGCTCCATCTGCTGCTTCTGTGACCCTTGGCAAGTGACTGACCACTCAGTGCTTCTGTTTCCTGCCTCACAAAGTTGTCGTGAGGGTGAATGCGTCTCACCACGGGCAGCACTTAACGGGCGCCTGGCACTCGGTGCACACCCCAAGTGTCTGTTGTTGTTTTCTTTCCTATCCTTCCCCGCTGTCCAGATGTCCTTTGTCTGATGACTCTAAGTCTCCTCCCTGCTGGGAGCAAAGAGAGCAGAAGGGTTCATGAGTTAATGAGGTAAAACAGCAGAGCAGGAAGCGCAATCCGGTTGGACTCGGAGGACCCGGGTGCTGAGCCTGGTTGGGACGAGAGCTAGCTGTGTGGCTTTGGGGCAAGTCACCTCCTCTCTCTGGGCCCACAGCAGTGAAATGCAGAACAATCTGATGCAAGAGCTGGAAGAACCTGGCACATTTATGGTCAGCATTTTCTAGGCAGGGTTAACCCCCAAGAAAGTCTGTTCCGAGCATCTGACATGTAAAAGACCGTAACATCACAAGTCATGGTTTCCTATAGGACACGCAAGTGACCCCCACACAACCTTTCTCTTCTTTTAGGTTATTTCTTGCTTTCGGACAAATTCCCAGAAGGGGATTGTGAGGTCTAACTCTGCATTCTGTAGTGTGTGGCCAAGTGGCACTTTCTAGAAGTGTCCCAACCTCTTTTGCTGCCACCAGCAGTGGTTGCCCAGGGTCCCAAAGCCCTTGAACTGGGTGTTTCCTGTGGTGTGTTGGGGACACCATGAGTGTCAAGGAGGTAAACAAAACATACCAAGTTCAGCTCGGTGTTGTTGGAAACTGAGCTGATGCAGATGGCAGGTCAACCTCAAAGATGAACAGGACCTTTTTCATGCTGTAATTTCAGGTTTGGATGCTGACAGGGGACAAGCTGGAGACGGCAACATGCACAGCAAAGAATGCACATCTGGTGACCAGAAACCAAGATATCCACATTTTTCGACTGGTAAAGCCTTGTCTGTGTCGGGGCCCTGTGGGGGTTATGCTTCGATTTGTCCTGTAACCCCACAACCTCAAGTGGGCCCCTAAAGATGGGAGGGGAAACATGTGAGCCACCTAGGTGGGGCAGCTTTAGACTGTCACTGGTCTGGGTGGGATTACTGAGTGACCCGGGTGCAGGCTGAGGAATTCCTTCCGGTAGTGGTTTTGGAGCACCTTGTCACAGCCCTGTGCTAATACTGCTGTGCGCTTGACCTTCTGGAGGGTCACGGTTCCCTTTAAGAAGCTGGTGAAAGTTAGGCACTGTCTCCGGAAAGAGGCAGATCAGCTCATGCACGTGAAATTGTGCGTTTGATTCTCAGGATCTCACTGAACCCCTGGAGGCCAACTCCTTGGATAAGAAAAAAATCCCAGGCCACAGATAGTGGCCTGTCTGCCTTCCTGAGGGGAAGCATTTAGGACCATTGAAGAGACTTCTGAAGGAGGTGAATTGGGTGGGCAAATGAGAAATAGCCCGCCCTTGTGGCAAGCACTTGAGCAAAACGATGCACGTATTGGAGTCCTTCTCCCAGCAAGGACTGTACTGAGCTTATTGAGGGAGAGCAGTGAGGGCCACCAGCTCCACTTTGGTGCAGGATGCAGCAACCCTATGTATCTGAAACCAGAGCCAGCATCCCAAACAACCAGAGGGGCTGTAGATGTTTTGTGGGTCTCCCCTTCACCCCTGCCTTTGGTCCATAGCACATAGAAGCTTCAAGAAATCCAGCAATTTTTGGAACAGCACAGTGTTACGTAGAGGCAGATACACTTGATTCTCATTATTTGTGGATTCTGTATTTGTGAATTTGTCTACTCACTAAAATCTGTTTGTGACCTCAAAATCAATACTCATGGCACATTCACAGTCATTCACAGATATGTTTGGAGTGGCGAAAAGTTTTAGTTGCCCAACGTGCACATTCCTAGCTGAGGTTGGACACCGTAGCCTTCTGCCTTCTCGTTTCAGCTCACAAACAGTAAACTAGCGTCCTTTTTGTGGTCCATTTAAGTATCAGGTTTTGGGCATTTTTCTGCTTTCTGTTGGCAGTTTGCTGTTTTAAACAGCCCCCCAGCAGAGCGCTGAAGTGCTGCTGTCTAGTGTTCCTAAGTGCAAGAAGACTGTGATGTGCCCTGTAGAGAAAAAGCATGTGGTAGATGAGTTTCCTTCAGGCACCAGTGGTAGTGCTGTTGGCTGCAAGTTCAATGTGAATGAATCAAGTGTCTTTATACAGAAACACACGTAAGACAAGGTTACATATTGACAAAGATATTGTGACCAGAGGCTTGCAGGAACCTAACCTTGTGTTGCCTCTAGAGACAATGATTCAGTATTTGCTAATTCAGTGTTTGCAATGACTTTATAGAACTTAGCTTAAAACATAAGAATTGACCGTACATTCTAGAATTCAGGGGATTGCAAACTATGGCCCACGTGCTAGCCACCTGTTTTTTGTAAATAACAGGTGTTTTATTTTATTGGAATACAGACATAGCCCCTTGTTTACGTATTGTCTATGGCTGCTTTTGCGCTACAACAACAGAGTTGGGTAGTTTTGATTGAGACCGTATGGTCAGCAAAGCCAGCAGTGTTTAACATCTGGTCCTTTACAGAAAAAGTTGGCCACCCCTGCCAGGTGCCTGGCTTCAAATACCTGCTCCACAACTTACTTGCTGTGTTACTTTAGACAGGATGGCAGATCTCACCATGCTTCAGTTTCCTTAGGTGTAAAGTAGAGTTGTTTTCAGTATGCACCTGGTAGAGTTGTCGTGAGAAATACATGAGAAAAAAAAAATCCATGAAAAGTGCCCAGCACGGTGCCTGGCACATAATAAAAGTGCAGTCACTTTTTGTCCTGGGGGAAGTGGAAGGTGATGGTTGGGGCACAGGCCTCCCAATTCCTAACACAATCGTAACAAACAGGATTTCATTTGGCTCTGGGTCAGGTGTCGGGGAGGGGCCAGGGTCCTTGGCTGGGGTGGCCATTGTCCTCAGACCAGCTCCAGGAAGCCGCTGTTTATTGTTCTATCATCTCTGGAAAGCAGTACCTTCTCCATCTCTCTGTTCCCTTCCAGGTGACCAACCGCGGGGAGGCCCACCTCGAGCTGAACGCCTTCCGCCGGAAGCATGACTGCGCCCTGGTCATCTCCGGAGACTCCCTGGAGGTAGGCGTGGGGACCCTGATAGCCACCTCCTCCCAGGAGCACAGGCCTCTTCCTGCTGTGGTGGGGGGAGCCGCGGGCCGGGAGGAGACATGGGCTGAGCCACCGCCTCTCCCTCCAGGTTTGCCTCAAGTACTACGAGTACGAGTTCATGGAGCTGGCCTGCCAGTGCCCGGCCGTGGTCTGCTGCCGCTGTGCCCCGACCCAGAAGGCCCAGATCGTGCGCCTGCTCCAGGAACGCACCGGGAAGCTCACCTGTGCAGTGGGTAGGCGACTGCCCGGGCCCATCCTGCTGGCACACTGGGTTTACTTTCCAGAGGATAATTGGATTGTGCTGCTACATTCTTCCAATTCCCCAGCCACTTTACTCGGGTCATGATTTTTTCCTCCCCGTGGATGTTGGTCCTCTTCTAGTTATTCTTAATATTTCCATTTGAGAGAGAGTAGATAAGTGTCCAAGGACCTCTATTCCCCAGCCACTTTACTCGGGTCATGATTTTTTCCTCCCCGTGGATGTTGGTCCTCTTCTGGTTATTCTTAATATTTCCATTTGAGAGAGAGTAGATAAGTGTCCAAGGACCTCCCCGCCTTTGCTAGTGACACAGGAACTCAGCAGCACAGAGGGGTGAAGACCATACACTGCAGAGTTGGATCTGGGTTCAAATCTCTCTGCCGGTTCTCACTAGCAGGCTGCTCCATGCTGGAGCCCCAGGCCAGTCACCTGGTCTCTCTGAGGCTCAGCAGCTTTGCCTGTGAGATCAGATCCTGATAGCACAGGTGGTTGGAGAGATTACGCTAAGATTACTTAGTAAGCACTCAGCATAAGGTGGAAAATGGATTGTTATTTAAAGGAGGAATGAGATGTGGGGGCTGTCTTTTCTTGCCTCTCCTCACTTTCCTGTCTTTTCTCTCCGGTCACAACCTGCAGGTGATGGAGGCAATGATGTCAGTATGATTCAGGAGTCCGATTGTGGCGTGGGGGTGGAAGGAAAGGTGAGCAAGCTGTCTGCCACGAGCTGAAGTCTGTCTACCTGTTTCTTTCCCCCCAAAAACACAGCTTTAGTGCTCCCGGAAGTTCTAGATAAGAATCCATGTATCTAGATAAGGAACCATGTCTCACGGTTTCCTTGGTTCACCTGGAAGTCCTTATCACTGTATCTTACAAATGGACAAATGCTGACTGTTTGCTTGTCAAAACCTAAATTTTAAAAACAGGTGTTTTGCTATATTCTTGGGGTAAGATAAATGTACTTCAGACTTTTTGGTGGTAGTCAGCATTGTCACTTAAAGCCTTGGTTATCAGGCCACGTGCTGATCTCCTGGGGTTTATGGAAGAACATGGTGTGGTTTCCCCTCACAAAAGGCCTTGGCAGCTATGATTTTTAAAAGTTGTGTATAAAATAATTTTGCTGTCTTTCCCTCCTTGTCGACTGTGTAACTGCCTCTTACAATTTACTTTGCCCTCTCTAATTTGTAATCTCTAAGTGACTGTATGCAAGAAGATTGGTCACCAAGTTTGTTAGAACTATGTGTTGAGTAAGAGTACATTGGGCCTGAGGGAGGACCAGAAATGCTTTCCCGTATATTTTGTTGCAGATCTTCATGAATTTGGCTAATCCATAGGCATTTTTTTTCTTTTTTTTT